GCGGTGACATTTCAGCAGTGTCAAGGGACAGACGAGCTCCTGTCCGCAGGCAGCCCCTCCCTGAATAGCGCCGCTTTTGGAGATGTTGCTCAGGGGCGGTGCCTCCACTCCCTAGTGCGCCCGCCTCTGCAGCTGCACGTCTGTCCACCTACCTGGCCGACCGTACCTCCTCTAGTTCTGCTCCTGAAAAGTATCCCCGCAATGCTCGGGAATTTACACCCAGATCCAGAGGTAAGGGGGGGAAAGCCACAGTTCCGCTCTCAAGGAGCCGTGTGGCTGGGAAGTGAGCCAAGGGAAGCTAGGTTCGCCACACAGGGTGACAGAGAGAGGCAAAGGAGCCACGAGCAGGGGGGGTGGGAGTGGGCACGGGGGACACAGCTGGGCCTGGGGCCAGGGAGGCTGCCCGGAAGAGGCACCACGAGAGCGGGAGCTCACAAGGCTGGGGAAGGCATGCCAAGGACCAGCAACGGGGCCACGTGTGAGGAGGAGGGACGCGGATGACTGAGCGCAGGGCAGAGCGTGGAGGACCTTGGAAGGAGCGAGGCTCAGGTATCACCTCCTCCGCGAAGCCTTCCCTAACTCTGGCCCCCGCCCAGGGTGGCGGTGCTGGATCAGCTCTCTCTTCTTTGTCCCCCAGCTCTGACCTTGAGCGTGGGCCCCAGGCTGCTGTGGCATCACGTCGGGGCCTCTGGTGCACACGCCCATTTCCCCTTGGCAAATAAATGAATGAAGGGGGGCTCAGCAACCGGCAGGCGGGCACAGCATGTGGGGGAGTCTGAGTCCAGGAGCGGGTAGTGGCCGGCAAAGGGCTAAGGGGTCTACAGGAGCAGGCAATAAATAAGCCCGGACAGTCACCTCCCTGACACCCAAAGCTGGGTAAAAAAACAATCGGTAGGTCACGGAACTTCCCTGAACCTGTTTCCCCACGTGTAAAGCTAGAGCGAAAGGCAGACTGATTTAGATGACAAAATTCGCAAGGTGAGACCACGGCTCGGGGGGGCAGTTCTTCACCACCTCCCCAGAGCAAGTCTCTGAGCTTTGCCCTGATATCTGGCCGGTTCTGCCTCAAGCCTGCTACTGAGCAGGGGGTGTGGAGGGAACAGAGCCTAGGAGAGCGGACAGAGAGGGAGCTGCGGACCAGAGGAGGCTGGGACCCAACGTGTGCCGCCTGCCCACGGTGCTCCTATGCCGTGGAGGGAGGCCCCGAGCCCCGGGATCCCAGTGCCTGGCAGCCATTTGGCCAATTCATATTGATTCATAAACATTCTGAGTGCTGGGGCCACGGAAGTGAACAAGGCCAAACCCCCGCCCTCCGGGAGCTCGTAGTCCCGGCAAAAGAAACACTGACTCCTCGGATAAGCACACACACGCACTCCATACCGTGTACTCCTGTGAAGTGCCATAAAGAAAATCAAAGCAAGGAGGGGGTGCCTGGGGGCTCAGTCGGTTAAGCGTCCGACTTCTGCTCAGGTCATGATCTCACGGTTCGTGGGTTGGAGCCCCGCATCGGACTCTGCGCTGACAGCTAGCTCAGAGCCTGGAGCCTGCTTCGGATTCTGTGTCTCTCTCTCTCTCTGACCCTCCCCCTGCTTGCACTCTGTCTTTCTCTCTCAGAAATAAATAAAACATTAAAAACAATTTTTTTTAATTAAAAAAAAAAGGAAAATCAAAGCAAGAAGGTATAGAAAGTGTTTTGGGGGGCGGAGGGGGGGCGCTTCTCTCTCTGGAAGAGCTCTCATAGGAGGTACAGCTGAGCAGAGATCTGAATGAAGCATTTTCTTTCTGGAAAGAAATCTCTGTTCCAGGAGCGCTGCAAAGTCCCTGGGAGAAAGGAAGCCCCTGTTGATTACCCAGGAATAACTGTCACCCCCGCCCCAAGGGAAAGCAGGGCTGTCTACTGGGTCTCCCAGCCCCCTGGCATGGCCAGAAGCTGGGGGAACACCAGTCTGGAGTCAGAAAGAGAGAATGGGGTTAGGTCTTGCCCTCTCCATGACATCTGACCTGGGGGGGTACCCTAAAACAGGAAGTCTTTTAAAAATGTCAGACACATGAGTCTGAGTGATGACAGAGAAGCTAGTTCTGGAAACTGTCCTGAGTCAGAAGCCAGGGAGGAAGAGGCAGTGGCATCATGAGGCATCAGCTTTCTCCCTTGCGTTTGGCTCAAAGTAGGAGCCAATGGGTCCATGGAGAGCCGATCAACCTCTCTGGCCTGGGCCCCCAACCCCCAGCCATCTTAACCTCTACCGGGGAGGGGTGGGGGGAGCACTTTCCCTGAGAGGCAGTAAGGGAGAACGCCCAGAGAGGGCAAGGGGGAAGTGTTTCTCAATAGGGCATGACTGTACCCTGTCACTACATGGTGGTGACAATATCGTCATTCACCTACCAAAAGCTACTCTTTACCTCCAACTACTGCAAGAGAAGCGCTTACAGTGCTGCTGGGGCCCAAAGGGAAAGAAAGAGGGAAATCGATCCTGGCCTCAGTCTATCAGAGTCCAGCCTCCTGCCAAACCCAGGTGTCCTGATGCCTATGTCTCAGATCAGGCTCTTTTTGGACTCTCGGAAAATCCCATTTTTGCTAAACGTGAGGCGGTTTTGTGTCACCCTCAGCTCAAGTCCTGAGATACGCCGGACCTGTCAGCCAGGTCCTCCCTAGTTGCTGCTGAAACCTGGGCACTTACGGCGTTCTGGAACAGTCTCAATGGCCACGCAGTGCCTCCTGTCCATGCCCTCCCCCCGGAACTGGCCAGACGGATTCTGAAACATGCCTGGAAATGGTGTTTCTGAGGCCAACCTCAGGATTCAATTCTGCTCAGGCCTGGTTCAAAATGGGCTGCCCATGACCCCAAATCACCCTGCGCAGCTCCCTGGGGATGCTGGGGGCCCAGGGGCTGAGCTGAAGGTAGATTGAGATCTCCCTGAGGCCCTGGCAGAGACGGGGCCCAAGGAAAGACTTGGGAGGGCGCTGTCACTAGCCCAGGAAGAGTCCACTAGGAAAGTTGAGAGCCAAGGAGCGCCATCAGCAGTGTGGGACAGGGAGGTCAGGTGGAGGGTATGGGGACTCAGAAGCCTGAGTAATAGGAACCCGTGCCTGAGGAGTCACAGAGAAAGAGGTTCAGGGGCCTTTGGAAGAAGGTCAGGAAAAGAGCTGGGAAGAGTCTTGGGTGGAGGTACAGAATCGGAAGGGCTGGGCTGAGGCTGGTGACAGAGACCTTGATGTTACTTCTGTAGTCTCAGATGGGACCCTGTCAAGCCTAGAGGGTTTGAGGGTTTCTCACTGTGTGACCGGAGCTTGGAGGATCAGATGGGCCAGTGAGTCCTCCCTTCCTGGGCAAGGAAACGAGCGAAATCTGAGAGAAGCTGCAGACGCGGGGAATGGACAGGAGGGAATCACGCCATGCAGAGCCTGAGTTGGACGATCTGGGGCCCACGGAGTAGGATCCCTCCCGCCTGGGGCTGAGGCGCAGCACCGGGGGCCGCTGGCTTGCTCCCTCCCGGGCCCCAGAGAATGGTCCGCTCCTCAGTGGAGAAGTGTGGGCCTCAGGGCTTTGAGGACCAGAGTCCCCGTCCCGGGGCTTCTAGAGGCAGAAGCGGGCGCAGCTCACACGTCCCCAAGGGTCGCGGCCCAAGGATCTGAGAAGTGGGCGGCGCCCAATCCCACCGTGGGGTCTATGCAGCTGGCGGGGTCTTCCTTCGCCCCAGGGTCGGAGGGACGGACTCGGGGCGCCGCCTCTCCTGGGTCGGAGGCGGAGCGTGGGGAGGGGGCGCCGCGTACCCCGCCCCCGCCGGGAAGGGGCCCGCCTTGCGCCCCCGGTTCCGGTTCCGGTCCGGCCCGCGCCCCTCCCGGACACTCACTGATTCGCGCCTCCAGAGTCTCCGGCTCCATCGCGGGCTCCATCCGCCACAGGCCCCCAGCCTCGGCACCGCCCCCCGCCCCCCGCCGCTCTCGCGGGACCTCCTCGGCACCGCCCTCCGCCGATTAAAGGGGCAACGTTCGCCCTGACGCGCGGGAGCAGCGCTGGGGAGCGCTCGGCACCATAGAGACTCGTACGAGCTCGCCTAGAGCGTCACCTGCTCGCCTAACTCCTCCCCTTTGGTGGTGTCTACGACGCGGGCGGGACCCACCGCCTGCCTTCCCGTTCACGGCGCTCAGGCGAGAGAGGAAGCGGAGGGAGTGGGGGCTGAGAGCTGCACCATGGTAACCCCACGGGACGCTGGAGCTCGTTCTGCGTCACGAAAATGCCCGTGACCGCTTCCGGAAGAATGCTCGGCGGCCATGTTTCTGAGGGGCTCTGGGGTCACTTCCGGAACCCTGAGCGCGTACTTCCGGTTAGACGGAAAGTGGGAGGGTCCCTTAAAAGGGCAATGTCGTACGTTGGCCGCTGTGAAAGTAAAAGTTTGTTGAGTGATTACGATGTTCCAGGCGTTGTTCTAAGCACTTTTTATGCGTTAATGTATCGACTCCCCACAACAAACCTACGAGCCAGATAGTTTGAGGTCACACAAGTGGCAGAACCTAAACCCCGTGCTATCTCTGCATTCACTCTGCGATCGTGTAACGGCCACTACACGTACTTTGCTCTGTGACGGCGCTGGAAGAGAAAGGCAAGGCGGGATCTTCATTACAGTGTGATAGGGGAGACCTATGCGGTGGAAGGGGTCCCCGACTCCAGACTGGAGTTGAGGGGGAGGAGGGATGAGGGAGGGGCTCTTGCCTGAGAACATTTCCCAGCGGTGATGTGTAGCTGAAAGACAGACGCAGTTCTCCGTAAACTAGGTGCGAAAAGAGATTTCAGGTGGACGTTTCAGGGTTCAAAGGGTTGGGAGAATGCGATAAATTTAGAGAATTCAGAGTATTTCGGTAGGGCTCCAGAGGATGTTGGCCTGGAATTAGGCCGGGGCAAGATCATGCAGGTCTGTGTTTAGATTTTTTTTCTGTGGGCTATGTTGACGTCCTTGAAGAGTTTCATGGGTGGCGACCGTCACGTTTGTGTTTTAGAGCTGCCCAGGCAGCAACAGTGGGGATCTGAAATCAGGGAAGGCCGAATGGACAGACTTCCTAGCCTCGGTGTCTTTTCTCCTGCCGTTTGTGCCTCCATCAAAAACCTCCCTCATGTGACTCTCCTATCCGTGTGCCCGGGATCGCCAGGTGACGTCACTCCCAGGCGGAGTCGGTCCCCGGCTCCCCTGGGTCCGTTGCAGTCTATCGCCCCCTGGCGGTCCTCTGGCGCCACCAACTCCCCCCATACGGTTAAAGCGACAAAAGACTGGGAAATCTGGTGAAGCCGGTTCAGCTCGGTTATCGCCTGGGTGAACGACCTCGAGTCGCCTTGCCCCACTGCAGTGACCTCATCTGGGAGATGAGGGGTTTGTGCTGAGTCAGTGTTTCCCCTAAACTCATCATTCAGCCCACTCAGATGCTTTTCTAAAATTCTCTCCCTCAGGCCATTAAAATTAGACAGGAAAATGCATGTTTATTGCAGTCCTCAATAAAAGCTGTAACGTAATGTGTACTTAGATCTCTTTCTGTTTGTTTTTTTTTATTACAGGAAAAGTTACCCCAAAAAAGGCAACTGTATGTGCTGCATCAATTCAGAGGCACGTGCACGTTGTCAGGAATCACTTTTTAAAGACACCATAGATTTGACCTAGATGCAGATTCTGACTTCACTGCTTTCCAAGCTGTATGACTTTGGACAAATCACTTCTCTAGATCTCAGGCTTCTCCACTGAAACGTGGTGAGAATTCAAAGAAATTGTGTCTGCCAAGTGAACCCCCCAAGGCATGCCCCCCACCCACTTTTCTTGCTGATCCTTTCTCCCTAGTACTCATGTTTATTATATATTTTCTTTTTGTCATTGTGTTTTTTTGGGCTCTCTTCCCCGTCAGAATGTAAGCTCTACGAGAGCAAGGAATTTCATCGGTTTGGTTCACTGATGGATCTCCAAAGCTTAAAAGAATTGCTGGCACACAATAGGTGTTCCAGAGATATGTACTGAATAAATGAATGAGTAGAAACTATTATTCATAAATTTTATGAATGGGGGGTGGTGCAGGAATGTGCCACACATTGCAAAGTACATGTGTGGGAGGTGGTGGAGGGAGCTGGGCTGTGCTCTTAAGGAAAGCTCTAGGCTGTATGGCAGTGGATCCCAAAGAACAGGGCTAGGTGAGGGAGACCCGGGAGCTGTGGCCAGTGCAGACAAGATCTGGATGAGACTGGGGGCCGTAGCAGGAGGTGCAGGAGGAAGAGAACCTGAGGGTGGTGAAAAGAAGGGGAACCAGCACAGGAGACAGGGAACGCAGGAATTCGGCCTTTGGAAGCAGTTTCCATCTCCCAGTCTTGCTCTGGGTGCCTTGGGAGCCCTGGTGGGGGTGCGGCTCGGGGTGGGGGGAGGCCGGGGGAGGGTGGGGAATGACAAGTAAGGCCAGCGCTCCTTGAAGCACCTGTAATTAACTAACACGTGCTGACCTCCAAGGGCTTCATGCCTCCTCCCCTTCCCAGGAAAACCCTCCAACTCCCGAAACCCCCTTTCCGGCTGACCTCTGGGGGCGGGGGCACAAAAAGCCACAGGTGTCGTGGTGTCCCATGATCCTGACACAGACCTCAGACCTGGGTATCATTCTCCCTGTTTTACAGAGGAGATTTCTGAGGACCTGTGTATGGACACGGCTGGCCAATGTCCCCACACAGCCTTCATCACAAGAGCCTACCTAAGTCCGAGTCCTTGCCTTCGAAACACAGAAAACACAAAGGCGAACAAAATACGGTGAATCAATTATAAAAGTCCCGAAAGGGGCTGATGTAAGGAGTGGAGGCCTTCGAAGGACAGAAAACACAAAGGCAAACAAAATATGGTGAATCGATTATAAAAGTCCCGAAAGGGGCTGATGTGAGGAGGTGGTAGGGAGGAGTGGAGGTCGTGAGTGGAGTGGCCAGGCCGACCTTGCTGATGAGTTCACGTTTTAGCTGAGAAGGACCTAGCCATAGGACAGGTGTCCAAGCCAAGAGAACAGTAAGCGCAAAGGTCCTGAGGTCTGATAGCTAAGCACACCAGAGTCAGAATTTGAACCGAGGCTTGAGTCTCTGCACCCAAAGTCTGTGCTTGGGTCCAGGAACCATGATTCTAGGTCCTACTGCTGACTGAGGAGACAGGAGGCATTAGAAAGTTGACAGGGTGCATGCCACATGTGCATTCAATCTCGTATGTACATGCACAGGGACAAGGGATAGGGGCTCAGAATTTCTGAATCAGTCCTAGGCCACATGGTATAAGGATGATTATTGCACTGATGTATTAATGTACATAAATGAAAAACCTCATAAAGTATTAAAATTCAGCCCTGTTTCCCCATACGTTTAACAAATTATCTTTAGGGGCGCCTGGGTGGCTCAGTCGGTTGAGCGTCCGACTTCGGCTCAGGTCATGATCTCACGGTTCGTGGGTTCGAGTCCCGCGTCGGGCTCCATGCTGACAGCTAGTTCGGAGCCTGGAGCCTGCTTTGGATTCTGTATCTCTCTCTCTCTCTGACCCTCCCCTGCTCACGCTGCCTCTCTCTCTCTCTCAGAAATAAATAAAACATTTTTAAAAAATTTAAAAAAATAACAAATTATCTTTATTAAAAAGAATGACCTTTTAGGTGGAAGGAAAGATAAATTCAGTGCAATTATAAAGCCTATATTATGGAAAATGATCTCATTGGCTGTTTGCGATTAAAGCTTTCCCGGAAAATCTGGATTGCCTGAAACAATAGGTCGGTAAACACAAGATGTAGTTCATGGGGGACTGGGGCGTTTCTAGTGTGTAGAGGGAGAGGACTGAGGCCACCAGGGCAAGGAGCTTGTTCATTGAACTTCGCCACGTCCTGGGGGGTTGGGCAGAGGAGGAACGTCCCCTATGCGACAGTTTGTCTCACTGTCTTTGCTTTGATTCCGTGACAAAGAATGATAATTTGTTACTGGTTATTGACTCACCCGCTGTGTATCATGGCTTTTACATGTCTCTCTAATATCTTTGAGGTGGGGATTAGTCTCCCCATTTTACAGAGGAGGAAACTGAGGTCCAGAGAGGTTAAAGGAAAACCTTGACTGAAGCAGCAAAAGTTAGTGGGGCGCTCAGACGCCAGGACCAACTTCTGTTTGCTGTCTTTCTTTTTTTTTTAATGTTTATTTATTTTTGAGAGAGAGAGAGAGAGTGAGCAGGGGAGGGGCAGAGAGACAGAGAGGGAGACCCAGAATCTGAAGCAGGCTCCGGGCTCGGAGCTGTCAGCACAGAGCCCAATGCGGGGCTCGAACCCATGGACTGTGAGATCATGATTTGAGCCGAAGTCGGATGCTTGACTGACTGAGTCACCCAGGCGCCCCTCTGCTGACTTTCAGCTGTGTCAAAATCCCCTGGGGAGCTGATGAAGAACACAGGCTTCTGGAAAACCTTGTACTCAGCATGGACTCGCTGGGGGTGGCGGCCCAGGAATTCGCAGCCCAGAAGGAGCTTTACCCTGCGAGCAGTCCATCCCTGCTCCCTGAGCCCTCCTGCACCCTGCCCGCTCTGGATCCCCAAGGCCCCCAGATCTGAGATGGGTATACCTGGTGTCACACAGACTCACCCCCAAGGTCTGGCCACACGGTGTGGCCCACCTCTGCAGCATAGTAGGACCCTGGTTGCTGGCCTCCCTCTGCCCCGGCTCGTGGCAGCATCAACCTTTCCCTGCTCTGGTTCTCAGATGCACCAAGTGAAGTCACACTTTCCAGTGACTAAACTGTGTGCCAACCCTGGTGGTAGGGAGGAGGAAAAAGCTGGGGAATGAAGAGTCTGAGCAATCCGCCTTTCCCCCAACATCGCTTTCCAGTGGGTTGGAAGATCTGGTTTACAGGGGTGTGGCCACAGATGCCGACACTGAGAGCCTCCCCCTACTGGCTGGGAGGAAACTGCGGGATTCGCCTGTTGGAAGGCAACATGCAAATCCGGCTCTTTGCTGACTGCTGACGGACAGAGGCTTAGCGTTCATCGATGTGCCCCTGTGCAACTTACATGCTACTAAACCGTTGAACCCAGCCACAAACACTAGAATTTCAAATGAGGCGGCACCAGAAGGTCAATGCACCAGGGAGCTCATGAGCCCTCACTGTCACCATCTTGTAGGGGTCCATTCTAAGTGCTGCAGGGGAGGGCAAGGACAGTTATCCTGGTGATGAGCTGAGGGATATGAGAGAAGAGGTGCCGAGAGCCAGAAACTAAAGGAGGAGCAGGAATTCTCTCCCCAAGAGAAGACCGAATGTGGGAAGTACGACTTGGCTGGAGGGAAGGGTGTGCAGGGCAGGAGAGAGCAGAGAGCCGTGTGACTTTGGGCAAGTCACTTCACCCACTCGAGTCCTGGTTGGTGGAGGACTACAGATGACGTGTACCACAGCCAGCATACAGTAGGCACTCAATACATGCTAAATTAATGAAAGCTCTAAATGGTAACTACTGCCTGTGACATCGGGGGAGGCCCTCAGGTCTGTTTTCTAGGTTGAGGGTTTGGGTCCTATCCGTTTGTCTTTCCTTTCTCCCAAAGCTTGTGCTTCTGGTGTCTGTCTTCACCTCTCCCTCCCGAGCTTTGCACACCCGGATTTTTGTCTCCCTGCCGGAAACGGACTCCAAGTACAGCAGGAAAGGCCTGGATCGGCTCCAAGACAGGACTTCCTTGTCTTTCTGTTGGAGACGCAGCTGCTGGGAGGAGGGGGGCACATTTCCCACAGAGAGAATTCTGGAGCTGGAAGAAAAATTTCTGAGATCATTATCTAATCCAGGCTTTTTCTTTTCTTTTCGGACAGATACCCAATGTAAGCAACGCACATTACATCAGGACAAGGTGAACTCAAGTTTTATGGAGCCTGAAGTTTATAAAAATGTGGAGACCTCATTAAAATAAAAGAATATAAAATTAGGCATTCATTGAGAGTGAAGAAACAAATTCCTATAAATTACAAACTTTATTTTTTTTTAATGTTTTATTTATTTCTAGGAGAGAGAGAGAGAGAGAGACAGCATGAGCAGGGGAGGGTCAGAGAGAGAGGGAGTCACAGACTCCGAAACAGGCTCCAGGCTCTGAGCTGGTAGTTAGCACAGAGCCCGACTCGGGGCTCGAACCCACGAACCCCGAGATCATGACCTGAGCCAAAGTCGGACGCTTAACCGACTGAGCTACCCAGGCGCCCCTAAAACAGTTTTTTAAAAGAAATCTCTAGGGGCTCCTGGGTGGCTCAGTCGATCAAGGGTCCGACTGTGGCTCAGGTCATGACCTCATGGCTCGTGAGTTCGAGCCCTGCATCGGGCTCTGTGCTGACAGCTCAGAGCCTGGAGCCTGCTTCCGACTCTGTGCCTCCTGCTTTCTCTTTCTCTGCCTCTGTCCCGCTCACACTCTGTCTCTCTCTCCTTCAAAAATAAAGAAACATTAAAAATTTAAAAAAAGTGGGGCGCCTGGGTGGCTTAGTTGGTTAAGCGTCCGACTTTCGCTTAGGTCATGATCTCGCGGTTCGTGGGTTCGAGCCCTGCCTTGGGCTCTGTGCTGACTGCCAGTTGGAGCCTGTTTCAGAGTCTGTGTCTCCCTCTCTCTGACCCTCCCCTGCTCATGCTGTCTCTCTCTTTCTCCTCGAAATAAATAAAAATATAAAAAAAAAATTTTTATAAAGTAATGTCTACACCCAGTGTGGGGCTCGAACTCCCATCTCCGAGATCAAGAGCCGTATGCTCTACCGACTAAGCCAGCCAGCCACCCCCGATCTTAAATTTTCAATATTGTCACATTTGGGGAAGCCAAACTGTGTTGTTTCATCAGCAGCTGCAAGATTTTGTCAGAACGAAATGTGTTTTATGCTGAGACACAGTCCCACGTGTCCTGGTAGAGAAAACGTTCACCCCGATGCACAGATGCGCCTGCTGTTTGTGCTGCCGCTGCAGGCTTGTGCCCTGCAACAGGCAGTCACATCGATTCTGCTGTGCAGGGTTCCTCGCAAAGAAGAGCACAGCGTGCGGTGC